CTTCCTTCATGATGGATGCTGTGAGGTCGCGTACCTCGTTGTGGCGGAGGCTAGGGTAGCCGCCGGTTGAGCAGGAGAGAGCACGGGCCACGGTGAATGATTTACCACAGCTGCAAGCAGAGGGCAAACGCTTCAGAGGCCAGCCATATCGCAATGAAACCGCATCGTGAAATGCGCCCTTCGATAGCGTGAAGCCAAACATCTTCAGTGGTTTGCATGTCAGCCACGACGAGGCACCCTTCTCCGCCGCCAGCTCCCTGGACCGCTTTAAGTCCGAAGCGATGCTCTCTTCCACAGCGACTAGGGTCTCCTTCTCCCTTACGGAGTGGATGCTGCGCACCTTCGCCTTCTCTGCCTTCATGGTGTGGTGAACATCACCTAGGTCCGTGTTTTGCACGATGATCCGCTCCACCAATGGCTGCGTGACGGTCCTGGAGTCATCCAACTGGCTGGCGACATCGCACGGGTTGATCAGACCCATGCCCCCTAGGCAACAAGGCAGAGCGAGGAGAGTGCGGGTGGTCTGATCAGGAGCGGGGTGTCCTGTGAGCACCGGGATAAACTCGCCGTGGATAATCTCCTCCAGTGGCTGGAAATTCTCCGTCGCTTCTGGCATGGTGCGAGCGAGGAATGTCCACTTGCCCTTCAGCCCTTGCGTGAACGCCGTGTACGCTGCTTGTGGTTGCGATTGGGCGTACCTGGTGAGGACTTGCAGTTCCTTCACCCATTCCGTGACCTTCGCTGCAACAAACTGCTTGCAGAAAGTAGCAGTGCCCAGTCCCGCACCCAGGTGACGGCAACCATCTTGCATGATCGCGATGTTAGTCCCATGGAACACTTCCTCCGCGGTTTTGGCAAACTGTGGTTTCACCAGGAGAGTGGACTTGGAACCATTGATGAAGTATCCGTACTTGTGGCCCTCCTCCTCGAGCGTGTTCCACCATACACGCAGCGCACGCATGCGGCCTGCTGCTGTGGAATCATCCGCAAACCAGATGTGCTGTGCCGCTGAGCTGCTCGCCGCCTTCTGCATGAGTGGGAGGAGCCCAATGGCATACATGGGCATTGCCATCGGGTCTCCCTGGGTGGTGCCCTCCTCAGAAAGAAGACACTCCCCATCGACGAACAGCCGTGCGGGATGCCGGTAGGTGTTGGTGACGGCACCCGCGATGGCCGGACAGAGGTGACGGATGTTGTGCAAGCACACACTGCGGTTCAGCCTGTTGAACGCATTGCTCGCGTCTGCTAGGAGGACTGCTTCGGTCTCTTCCTCATTCAAAACCATGCACTTTCGCCACCACACTTCCGAAAGTTCGACTACTTTTTCGACTGCTGCCGCCACATTCCGAAAATAATTCCGAAATTCGGAATGCAAAACCTCTCTAATACTTTTTTGATATTTCCACTGATGATCGGAGCTTGAAAATCGATTTTGGAAACACACAAAACCAAACCTTGAACAAATTGTCATGTTGCGTGGTGATGTCTGCGGCACTCATACTTTTCATAGCTATTATTAAACTTTTATCTCCACGTAGATTATTTAAATAAATAAATGGTAAGAAATGTGTGTGTGAGATCCAAGTACTAATTTTACAGCACCAAGTACTAATTTTACACCTCCAACCACTGATCCAATGTTGGCTCAACCTCATTCCAGAAAAGTGAGCCAACTATTACTTCAGCTTTTTCACTTACCCGATCTTGGCTCGACTCCACAAGTGACTGACTTGTAGCTGCAGCGCTGCGGCCCTTGCCTGGCTTGGGTGTTCGTCTTTGTACCGTGGGCGATTCAGTCCCTGTAGCTCGTCTCATTTCTCACCTCCTCTTTCTTTCTTTCCTTTTTTCATCTCCCCTTGTCTCATAATTCTTCGCTAACTTTGCCACCTAGTTGTAATGGTCACCACCCTTGTGATGCTATTTCTTCATACGTAAATACTTCGTCCCCCCCCCCCCCCCCCACCACCACCACAAAATGATCTTGTTCAAGTTCAAGTTTCAAGTATTCACTCCGTAGATAAACTCAAAGCGTAATGGACAAGAAAGCCTTTGAAGAAATAGAGGCAAGATGATTCAAGTATCCAGTTTGGAACTCCATATATAAATTGAAATTCACTCCACATGTGCGTACTCGACCGTCTGATGTGGTAAGACTAGGATCAATTCAAGGGGTCGGTTGGCTGATGGATGTCGCCCACTCGATAGTGAACACACCTGTTTACTGGGCATCCGGGGATATGAAGAATTTCCACTGTGCATGACTGTACATCGAAATGCAGTGGAAACGTGGCATGACCACCAGCCCTGCACGGTGACAAAAAAACACCATCCGCCAATACTCACCACGACGGGAGAGCGTGGACATCGGCAATCAATCCTGCTGTCGGCAACATCACGTGCTTGCTAAATTTGTGGGGACACGACATAGTTGCCCGGACCTTACAGTGGGCAAAGTCACGCGGCGTGCCAGGCAATGCAACATGGCGCAGAAATAGAGAATGCCCACAACGCTGAGTACTGCCACGAACAGCACCAAGAACGAAAAATAATACATAGATTCGAAATAGCAATTGATACGGTACGGTACAGGAAGCCAGTAGGAGTTCGGGTAGCGGTATACGGCAAGAAACTCCTTGACAGGATTCGGTGCTGTCATATCCACTCCTTCAAATGTTACCGTTGTCATAGTGTCAATGTATCGCCTAGGAAATGTGTAACGGAATATATCTGGCACTTCGCAACGAGTGATGAGCTGATCATTGTCCTGTCCCAAATTGACAATGGGTACGTGGAGTACGACCTCGGCTCGAATGATCTCACCACGGGCTTCTTCTGGCACAACGGCCCGGCGAATGAAATAACGGCACGCACCGCCATAGTATAGGACATCACCACGCTTGGCCAGCAGCCGCTTGAGTTCGTTAAACTTTGCCATAAACTCAATCTGCATGGCCCCCATGTCGGCGTCGTGGTCCCAGGGTATGATGCGACCTGAGCGATACGCTGCCAACAAGGTGCCATAGTCCAGCCAATACCGCAGGCCAACCTCATCTGCAACCTGTCAGCACAGGCAGGTAACCATGAGAACACAATATCAGTGATCATTGAAGAAGAACACGCACAGCACACCTGGGTTAAGTGACCTTTGCTGTCAGTGACCACCTGATTTTAATGGCCGTTTTCCATGTACATGCAGCTATGGATAGAAACTGCACCAGGAAAAAATGACCATCTGCGTTGCGCGACTAGCAACTGGCTTGTTTTTTAACGAAGGGATTTGATCCGACCAGCATAGAGCAACCACAAGTGCTGTCCTGGCTGGCTTGCTTGAACGCAACAGGGCTGAAGTGCCCTGAGTATCGAGTTCATCAGCTAAGAATGCACAACTTCACACATGTGTGCCGTTCCCTCACATTTCTCGCGAGGTGAGCATCATTGCCTCCTTGGACCCAACATTTCAGAAGACGCCTTGTGATCTACGGGGTGCTCGGACAATTGATCTTCACATTGAATTGACCCGGCATGAAAACGTTCCTCAATTGAATGGGTTCAAAATCAGCTGTTTAACTGCGCCTGCCAGGTGCGATGCTGTAGCGCCGCCACTGGTAACTTATGCAGTGGTCCCTATGATCCGGCACCGTTTGTGCTACTGAAATTCTGCTGGATTGGGGAGGGTGCTGGATTAACAAATCTGATTGGGGAGGGTGCTGGTTTAACAAATCTGATTGGGGAGGGTGCTGGATTAACAAATCTGATTTTCTGCTACAGTGTACATAAAGAGGACATATCGGTTACCGAAAGTTATGCTGGTTTACAGAGGGTGCTGGTTTACAGAGGGTGCTGGTTTACAGAGGGTGCTGGTTTACAGAGGGTGCTGGTTTACAGAGGGTGCTGGTTTACAGAGGGTGCTGGTTTACAGAGGGTGCTGGTTTACAGAGGGTGCTGGTTTACAGAGGGTGCTGGTTTACAGAGGGTGCTGGTTTACAGAGGGTGCTGGTTTACAGAGGGTGCTGGTTTACAGAGGGTGCTGGTTTACAGAGGGTGCTGGTTTACAGAGGGTGCTGGTTTACAGAGGGTGCTGGTTTACAGAGGGTGCTGGTTTACAGAGGGTGCTGGTTTACAGAGGGTGCTGGTTTACAGAGGGTGCTGGTTTACAGAGGGTGCTGCTTTACAGAGGGTGCTGCTTTACAGAGGGTGCTGGTTTACAGAGGGTGCTGGTTTACAGAGGGTGCTGGTTTACAGAGGGTGCTGGTTTACAGAGGGTGCTGGTTTACAGAGGGTGCTGGTTTACAGAGGGTGCTGGTTTACAGAGGGTGCTGGTTTATAAAGAGCAGAATTAAAGAGGGATGACTGCGCTTGAAGTACTGCACATGCCTGAGTTGGGAATTTGAGGAACGAGTTGTTCCGAGAGCCTCCTCTGAGCAAGTGCATTCGATTCAGAGCCCCAGTCTACAGCAGTATAATACAGCACGGTTGACACAGACAAGGTGAGGGTGATAGGGAAAGCTGTGTACACACAGACATGGCCAGAGTGATAGGGAGAGCTGTGCCAGCAGCCTGCCTCAGCAACCATCTAGCAATTCACAGTGAGAGAATTTCTGCAGTAGCGGTTAGGCACCTCAACACACGACACTCTACTTTGTACTTACCGCTGCAAAGTTCTTAGTGTTGCGGACGAGCTCTTGCAAGCGAAATGCCTGATTGGTGGGATAACATGGCTGGTTGAAGCGTACATAAGCGAGAGCCTGCATTAGAATAGAGAGCAGGAACAGCATACACAAGTCATACAAGCCAGCAGACGAACAAATGAAACCTGCCTCAAACTGACGAATATTCGACGCATTGGGGCTCCCCGCGCGCACTAGTCAGTTTCGATGTCAGAAGAAAACTTTGAACAGTCTCTCCTTGGACGATGGCTACGCCATAACTTGGTGGTAGAGCATCCGCTTTAGGTCAGTGATACTCTACCACTAACCTGGTTCAGTCCTGGCGGTGACAGTCAATTTTCCTACTGGACTATTTCTGTTTTCACTCCCAAGCTGATGAATATTTATGAGAGCCTTAGATAAGTAGGTGCGTTCTAATCTTCTCTAGCTTCTCCGAGAAATTTCTCCTGGAAGTCGAAAAAACTGGAATAATTTAGGAAAGAGTCTCGAAGAAATCGGAGATCTTTTGCCCATGTGAAGTGCCAAAGGAGCCGCGGCCTTGAGTGACGCAAATGCAGTACGCACTGTGCGTATAAATAAACCCGTAGCAAAAAAAGACGCTCATGATCCACACATGGCTTTCAGTACTACTGAGTAGTTCGGAAGCGCTGATTCCAAGACGTGGGAATCTCCACGTTCAACCACCTTTGCCAGTTCGGAGAGCTTTGGAGAATCTCCTACACTGCAGACAGGATATAATAACAGCTCCCCAACTTTTTCGAGAGGATTTTATAATGTACCCGTAGTCCTTTGAAACTGCTTTGATTGTGCACGGGTGTGGGAAAGTGTTTCGGGATGGTACGATCAGACATTGTTTTAAGTGGCATTTCGGGCTCTCCTCTAAAAACTTCAAAAGTTAGAGCCGTTTGGGCAGATATCAGATGGTATTGCCCTCGCACTCGGTCAAAAATACATATGTAGCGACGGTACGCTCACACATACGCACTGCACATGCTCATCAATACTGTACGGATCGTAAAGGGGAAGTATACCTTAAAAATCAAATTTTGAAGTTAATTTTCACCAGTTGCAGGCTTCGGGGTGCTGAGTCGAATGGTCTTGGTCCGAGGAAGCTGAGATGCTTCCTTCCTCCTTTACTCCCAATCGAACTCGCGCACTTCCACCGAAACTGGGTGACTGCGCCCTACTAGATGGGGATTTGTATGCAAAATGTCACTAAAAGCGCCATTTCGTACTTATAAAAGCACGGATGACCGCGATTGGCCCATATGTTGTAGTCTTTTAAACGCTGAGTCGACTGGTTTTGGTCCGAAAAGGCTGTGATGCAGTGTTCGGCCCTTATTCCCAATCGAACACGGGTGAGTAAGCGGTCACGTGCTCATGCGTACACCAGTCACCTGGTCACCGTGCCTGCAGGCTACAACTTTTACAGCGTTCCTGTCACTTGGAGTTGAACCTTTGAACCTTTGAGTTGAGCCTTGGTGTGAAAGTTGTAGCCTGCAGGCTACCAGGCGATATTTTGCATACAAATCCCCATCTAGTAGGGCGTAGTCACCCAGTTTCGGTGGAAGTGCGCGAGGTCGATTGGGAATAAAGGAGGAAGGGAGCGTCTCAGCTTCCTCGGATCAAGACCATTCGACTCAGCACCCCGAAGACTACAACTGGTGAAAATTTGATTTCAGGGTATGCTCCCCCTTTAACTCTTTCGCTATTTCACACTCTGGGCAAAGAAATCGTGTACCTCTGGACTTATTTAGACAAAGAAGTGGATACAGGATGGCTGGGGTGGTAAATAACCCTAACTTACAGCACCCGGTACTGCGGTACTGCAGAGACAAAATATACAACGTAGATGCCAGTGGTACTGTTAGATTGATTCAGTCGTAATTTCAGTATGTATCGGCTGTAGCGCACCCTTTTGTTTTCAGTGTCTTTATCACTATATCCGATACGGCACTACAAGCGCTATCACATACACATGTACATGTATATGTATACAACTGTATGATGTACATGTGGACGATGGCGTGCACCCGGTTGCCGGTGCGCGACCACGTCTCCACATGGCCATGTGCGTAGTACGACTCCTAGATGTTTGTATGCAAACTGAGGACACTGTACTGTACTGTACTGTACTGTACTGTACTGTACTGGTCGACACAATGCATTGTGGAAACGGCATGCCTTTCCGGTGCACATGCGCACACATGCACCTGCTTGCTGCGTATGCATGTATCACTAAAGCCATTATTATTATTATTATGCATTTATGGTGTGAAATGCATGTTCTGATTCTTGCACAGTGTATACCATCGCAATATCCCACAATACAACATGTACAACCGACTATAGTATAGGTATACCTTCTAATGTACATCTATCACTACAAGCGACTATAGTAAGTTATAGGTATACCTTCTAATGTACATGTATCACTACAACCGACTATAGGTTCTAAACTTCTAATGTCGCAATGAATATTATTTCGACTGCAAAATGCATTTTGCTTTGGATATCCGGTGTAGCCTAACACCCTGTACCCGGTCACTGTACTATAGCCGATACAGAGACTGTAGTAGCTGTACTCGGCAAAGCAAGAGTGAAGCTGCGTGCTTGTCGGAGCACTCACCGGTTTCAACACCTGATGAACGTGTAGGCCCTCGACTTGGTAGACACGCAGCACTACCTCCACACCGAAAGCCAGCAGCAGCGCACACATAAGTAGCGTGATGAAGTACAGCTTCCAGGACGGATACAAGATGTTGATTGGGAACCGCCGCATAGCAGCGGCGGCAGGAACGCTTTTCACCAGCAAGAAGGGAATAAGATCATGTTGGCTTCGAAAGTTTCCGCTCCGTGACTTCTCGTCACGTCAACAACGTGAACGGTCAACCGTCAAGCCAGGCAGCTAGCTAGCTGCGTAGACGACGCGTTCACAAGTGGCTTCACCGTCAGTCAGCTTACGACGGTGTAGTTGCGAGGTCTGTGACTGTGGACAGCACTGAAGAGTTTGTACATCTACGAGTTACGACTCCCCGCTGCTAGCTCCGAGTCGAGTCAGTGTCAAACTACAACAGTTTCTACAATAATGTAAGTAGATCTACCAGACAGTAGACCTACTAATACTCTGGTGCTAGGGTAGAATCGAACTTATTACTAAAACTACAAGACTCTGCAAGACTCTGCAAAACTCTGCATGCAGATAGTAAGCATGTTACCTGGTGGCGGACGTGGTGCCGTTGACACACGGTGTCTGACAGTGACACTGCCACACTCGCAGACAGTAGATCTACTGTTCCGCAACTACATGTGTTCAGCCTGAACAGATCTACTGCATGCACTGACTGCACTGCACTGGTGTCCGACTAACAACCAAAAAAAGTCGTCAGACTCGTCACTGCGCTTTGCATCATGTTTACTGTTAGTTCTGCAAGACTTGGCAAGACTTGGCAAGACTCTCGGGTAAGAGTGATTCGATTATCATCTCTCAGCGGCAGTCCCCTACATTACAACAGTAGTCCTACGACTACGAGTACCGTGGCCAGCCCCTATCACTATCAGTACATTGTATCACTCTACTATCCGTGATGCAAGTGTAGTCTGCTGCAGTGCGGAAGCGGCTAAACACCTACTAATACTACTACCAAAATACAATGTCATGTAATACTAAACAATTATTTTAATAAATTTGCGGGATAATGTAGTTCTACTAGTTGTAGTTGTAGTTATAGTGCCACTGGCCACTGTAGCTGTACTACTGGCACTGGCCAGCCAATGAGTCTGACTGTGCTTTCTTGAACATTCTACAACAGACTCAGTACAACTACAAGTGAAGACTGAACTCTGAAGTATCGCGGCCAGAGCTAGAGACGGTGACTAGTCGACTGTTATGTACATGGTCACGCTGTACCAGGGTCAGGGAAACCTGTACCCCTCTCGACTCTCTCTAGTCTTACTTCACTTCTATTCAATTAATTATTTGATTACATGTACCACTAGTACAGTACTTGAAGTACTGTATCTTCGAAAACGTGGATTGCATTGATAATGATAGATTGCATTGACGGATGAATGCACTGCGCCACTAGTCCGGTCTCCGGAGTCCGGACTCAGACAGCTAGCTACTAGTATAACATCATGTACATAACTGTTTCGACCTTGCTGGAGTCCTGGCTAGCTGGGCGAAGCACCAACTTCAAAAGGAACTAGTACAGTAGTAAGTAGTAAGTACTACTACTCACTACTGTAGTTGGTGAGCCCGGCAGGCGGCAGCTCAGCCGGCGGACACATTGTGTATTGTAGTTTCTGGACAACAACAAACAGAAGCCTTCTTACTCTTCTATGCATGTAACTAACTTACTACAGTGCTACACTTCAGTTTGTTCCTGGTCCTCCGTTGACGAGACCAGTATCATCACGTTGGTCCTGTGGTGTTCCTAGCAGTGTGGGGAATACACGTGTGTTCGATTTTTTTAAACTCTTCCTCTTTTCTAGGAGTAGGAAGGAAGGGTATACCGGTAGCTTGTCAACTGCATGAAAGCGCACAGACCAGCACACTCCGTCCTTATCACAAAGTCACAATAGAGTTTTGCTATACTTCCGACGCGGCAATAGTGTGTCCTATCGTTCGAGGTGCTCAATAACATGAGTCGTGGCTGGCGACGTGTTAGTTATCCCAAGCCCGTTTGCACAAAGTATATGTGCGCCTCTTGGTAGTTCCACTCAGGGCCAGGCGTACCTCGGACCCAAAGCACAGAGAAAAGTCAGGGTGGCGGAGCCCTCAGGCTCAGGTCCGGTATAGTAAAGGAACAAAGTAAAAGTAGGAAACTAGAAAGTCAAAGGCCAAGCCGGTAGCGGAACTCCTATAAACAAAGTCTATTCAAGAAAGCTAAAGACAACTAACGAGAATCTCCAAGAACCTAATCGATATCTAGCAAAGTCAGCGTTACAGTAGTGAGTTACTTATACTAGCTGAAATCTATGCGAGCGACTTCGAAGGGAAGCTTCGAAGGGTCGAGCAGGCAGCAGCGAAAGAGTAGCGAGCTGTGCCAAACTCAGCAAAGACTTGAAAGAGTAACATATCAAAGCACCGAAGCATGCTAGTAATGGTGAATCAGAGCAGCCAAGCGGAACAGCAGAACATGGCAACAGGCTGACAGCTCTGTGGTAATGGGTAGTCTAGGTCGGGCGACACTCCGACAGCAGAGGTTGGCTTATCATAATCAAAAGAAAGAGCAACACACTAATGAACATAACGCCATTGATGAGAAGCTGTGGTAGAGGTAGTTGACAGGCTGATAGCGAATGTGTGCAGCGGTGGGTAGTACATGCACTATCTATACGGCAGGGCCACGACACAAGGAAGCCGCAAGCGAACGAAGGTGTCATGGTCCTGGAGTACGAGGGGACATCAAGCAGACTACAGCACTCGAATACTGGTGGAGAAGGGGGAGGAGGAGGGGGAGGAGGAGGAGAGAGAGAGAGGGAGAGAGAGAGAGAGAGAGAGAGAGAGAGAGAGAGAGAGAGAGAGAGAGAGAGAGAGAGAGAGAGAGAGAGAGAGAGAGAGAGAGAGAGAGAGAGAGAGACAGAGAGAGAGAGAGAGAGAGAGAGAGAGAGAGAGTAAGTTACATTTATAAAGACAGGTAAGTCTAACAAATGAGGACTGAGACCTCTACAACAGGGTTTTTACGCCTGAAAGCAGGTGCATGATTTAACAAGCAGGTTGTCAGTCTAGATTTTATGCGCAGATGGAGAAAAAGCGCAGAATTTTTGTAATGAGATGAAAAGCAGAAATAATAAGAAATAATAGGAAAAGATGAAATGAAAGCCTGCTCACAACCCCGCCCAGCCTTGCGAACTGGGTATGGTGGATTAAGAACCCGGTTCAACGCTCGAGCAAGCGCTCTCCACTCAAGGTGTTCACAGCAACTGATAGGAACTCATATGGGGAAATTATAGAAAAGAAATAATAAGATAAAGAGAATAAATTTCAACGCACCTCAATAAACGGAGCCCCACATACAGTACCTCAGAAAAGTGGATCTTCCGACCAGTGTTTTTGTTGACGCCGCAACCAGATGATGTAGCTGCTTCGCAGAGACGTCTTACTGCACAAATTACAAATAAATTTTATTCTTCGATTAGAAAATCCAAGCGCTTTCAGAGCCCTCCGAAGAGAGTCCGGGATGAAACCACGCACACCCACCTCAACCGAAAAAGAAACGACCTGCCACCCGTTTGCTCGGCATTGATCGGCCAGATCCGCATACCGCCTGTCCTTCCGCGAGTTACTGACACTGAATCTGTCCTCAGCACAAACTGTCAACTCCATCCAGAATACAATCCTACGACTCGTAGAGTACAGAACTATATCTGGTCTTAGGGTGGTAAGTGCAACACAGCTAGGGAAAGAAATCTTTGCACTAACTGAGTCGACAAGAAGTTTCCAGTCTGAGGCCGCTGACAGGAGATCAGTCGTAACCAACTTTCGTCTGGGCTGAACGCGAACTGGCTTCTCTCCCGCCTTGCAAAACGAGATGAAGTCAAGCTCATTTGAATTTTCGGTTTGTACGGTGTTTGCAGCAGTGCGGATTCGAATCTCCTCACGCATGTTCCTGACGATGACCCCGAGTACGTTGTCGTGCCTCCAGGTGTAACGTCCCTGGTCCAGCGCTACGCGACAAGCGCCAAGCACGTGGCGCGTAGTACAGGCCCAGGTACGGCACAAACTACAGTACGGATCCACTACGGTGTTTCCCCAACGGCGTAGGTTCGTCGGAGAAGGTAGCACGTCGAGGGTTGATGCGAGAAGAAATTTCAAATCCTTACCAGTACCACCGTACAAAAGGGATTTCCACGAGAGGTCCTGCCACATCACCGATGTCCACTCCAACCACTTGCCTTGCACCTGAAGAGTCTTCAGCCTCAAAATCTGCTCCTGCGCGTTGATCTCCTCAAATGTTTGAAGGAGATCCTTCCTCGGGGGTTTGGAATGCTGCTTCGGAGCACGAGCACCCAACCCTGCACGATGACTTGAAGATGACGGTGGACGGAGAGTCCCTGAACCTACTGATGCCTCTGCACACTCCAGCTCTATTGTCGCCGCATATCGCTTTGTCAGCTTCGCATCCTTACTCCGACGCAGAGTGTACAGCGCCCTCATGCGCGCGTCCCCACTCGATCGAAGAATGTGCCATTTGATGGACTGGCACTTTTTCCACACCGTAGGAAGGTAGTGGAGGCGTAAGCCAAAGCGTTTGCGACTGCCAATAAAAAGAATGGCAGAGTTTGCGCATCGAGGTAGGCCTGACCATTTCTTCAGAAATGGTAAACACATAAAGTGCAGTTCACGTACAAAACCTTGTGTGAGTTCAAGAACCTGGAAAGACCAAGAAAGCTTGGGCACTACAAGATGGTGGTAAAGCCATAGCTTGTGGTGGTCTTGAAGCCAAGAGCCATCTACTTTTTGCATGAGAGATACAGTGAGTTGACGGATGTCTTCCCGCTGGGTCTGCTCAGAGCAATCAGCATGCAGCCTTCGCCCCAGGAACTTGAACTCTGCAGTGTCAATGAAAGCGATCTTCCTCCCTGACATTGTCAGGCAGGGATCGTAAGGTTTGTACCGGCCATCTACAAGCTTTGCTGCACTGCTTTTGCATTTGTGCGGCGCCGCCTGCATACATTGGGTCCACGAGAGAAAGTCCTCCGTGACCGCAATGAGTTTTTGACAACCTGCACTAGATTTGCTATAGAGGCCTAAGTCATCAGCAAAAGCTGTTTGGGACACTTGCAAAGGGGCAGATTTAAAATCATAGGAGAGGCAACTTAATTCAGGGGAGAGAGAGAGAGAGAGAGAGAGAGAGAGAGAGAGAGAGAGAGAGAGAGAGAGAGAGAGAGAGTAAGTTACATTTATAAAGACAGGTAAGTCTAACAAATGAGGACTGAGACCTCTACAACAGGGTTTTTACGCCTGAAAGCAGGTGCATGATTTAACAAGCAGGTTGTCAGTCTAGATTTTATGCGCAGATGGAGAAAAAGCGCAGAATTTTTGTAATGAGATGAAAAGCAGAAATAATAAGAAATAATAAGAAAAGATGAAATGAAAGCCTGCTCACAACCCCGCCCAGCCTTGCGAACTGGGTATGGTGGATTAAGAACCCGGTTCAACGCTCGAGCAAGCGCTCTCCACTCAAGGTGTTCACAGCAACTGATAGGAACTCATATGGGGAAATTATAGAAAAGAAATAATAAGATAAAGAGAATAAATTTCAACGCACCTCAATAAACGGGAGAGAGAGAGAGAGAGAGAGAGAGAGAGAGAGAGAGAGAGAGAGAGAGAGAGAGACAGACAGACAGAACGACAGACATACAGGCAGACAGACATACAGGCAGACAGACATACAGGCAGACAGACAGACAGACAGACAGACAGACAGACAGACAGACAGACAGACAGACAGACAGACAGACAGACAGACAGACAGAGCGGCAGAGAGACAGGAAGACAGAGCGATAGAGAGACAGAGACAGAGCGACAAAGAGACAGAGTGATAGAGAGACAAACAAGATAATTGCCCAACGTGATCTGCATTCGTCATGACACAGACACTAGGGAGGTTTAGTCCCACGTAATCCGTGGGTACTTTACGTGTGTGTACCACGTGATACTCAGTGACCCACGTACAGACGTTTTCTGGTTCACGACATATGACATACCGTGTATGGAGGCTCACCCACGTTCCGCCAGAACGTGGGTGAAAATCAGAATGGAGCGCATTGTGCGAGCTGTGAGGGTGCTCAGCTTAAGGTGGCAGTCTGGGTTCAGAGGGTCAAAAAACAAAGTTTCGATTTTCTGTATTTTTTCACTGGCAGCGTCTTGTGTATGGTCCAAAGGGTTTATTCTGAAAATTTGAGCGTAATCGGGTGCTTCCTTCCGGAGATATAGCCGCGCAAAGTCTGCACAATTGTTTTTGAAATACTGAAATATCAGCAACTACAAAACAAAATTTAGGTTTGCACACTATTCCGATTTTTACCGTCAATCTTTGAGCGATTTCATTAAAATTTTCTGGAGCGACTCCTGGTACTCCTCTGCGCTGCAGACTGACAGCTGCGCACGATGTTTGTCACCATGGCAACCAAGATAACTTTTGCGCATGCGCAAATTCAAAAAATTCAAATAAATTTAATTTCGACTCTCATGATCTCAGCTGATCGCTCTGCTGTTGAAACTTTTTGGAGTAATTGTTTTGGAGTAATTGTTTCTTGGAGCTAACCCCTTCGTTGGCTACTATGGGGAAGTCTAGAGCCAAGGGAAAGCCCGGACGATCTAAGAAAAGGAAAAGAACGTTCTATGGAGTGTCTCAGGCGCCGAAGGCTCCCTCTGGTGAAATTTCGCCTGCAGAACAAATTCCTGACTTGCCACTGTCTGATGACGACCTTGAAGTGTCAGCTGAAGCCACGTCTTCAAACAGCGATAGTGATGGAAGTGGCGGTGAAGTCGACAGCAGTTCCTCCGACAGTGACTTGGATGAAGAGTGTGAGGAAGGGGCGCATGGATTTCGCCTGATTGATCTCGAGTGCCTTCAGCAGCTTTTGTCAGCTGCAGTTTGTTGCAGTGGCTGTAATGGCGCAGTCACGATCAGCGAATCGCAACGGGGAGGCCTTGCATCATGCCTGGAGCTTTCCTGTGTTAACTGCGGCGACATAGCAAGCGAATTTATGTCCAAGAAGTTCAATCGGGTCTGGGAGGTGAACAGACGAGCAGTATTCGGAATGCGACTGATTGGCCGTGGACGTCAATCAATGGTAAAGCTGGCGGGTGCACTGAATATGCCGTCACCTATGAGTCGGTCGACATTTTACAGCCATGCTAAAGGCCTGCATTCCGCGTCCAAGAGCGTCGCTGAGCGTAGCATGACTGAGGCAGCTGAGAAAGCAGTGTCCGCAGCAGATGGGGGTAGCGATATCGCTGCTTCCTATGACGGTACCTGGATGCGCCGAGGATTCGCATCGCTCTTCGGAGCCTTCACTATAATTGCATATGATGTCGGCAAAGTGGTGGACTGCGAAGTGCTTTCAAAGTTTTGCCACAAGTGCACGCACTTGGCGTCTAGAAAAGAGAAGGGAGAGCTAACCAAAGATGACTATGATCGACAGATTGCCGAACACGATTGCTCAGTCAACACCACTGTATCAGCTCCTGCCATGGAGAGTGCAGCCGCCAAGACTCTGTGGGCCAGGTCCTTTGAGAGCCGCAAGCTGAGGTACACCACCTACATTGGTGATGGAGATACCAAGAGTTTTAAGGCTGTGCGTGACGCTTGTCCGTATGGGCCCGAGGTGCCTGTAGTCAAGGAGGAATGTGTCGGCCACGTTCAAAAACGCATCGGTACCAGCCTAAGAAAGCTGAAGAAAAACCTTGCGGGCAAGAAGCTTGCTGATGGGCGCACTATAGGCGGACGTGGTCGCCTCACGGATGCCATGATCGACAAGCTGCAAGCCTACTATGGCATGGCTGTGCGGAACAACAGCGGAGACTTGCAAGCCATGGCCAGGGCCATATGGGCATCCCTCATGCATCGTGCATCCAGCGACAGTAAACCTCAGCACCAGTATTGTCCGCCTGGAATTAACAGCTGGTGTAGATGGCAGCAGCAACAGGCAGGTGGTGATGTCTACGCCCACCACAATATCCTGCCAGAGGCAGTATGGAAGGAACTGAAGCCGGTCTACATTCGGTTGTCCGACCGGAGTTTGCTCGAGCGCTGCCAGAAGGGTGCTACGCAGAATCGCAACGAAGCGTTCAATGGACTCGTGTGGCAGTTGTGTCCAAAGACAGGCTTTGCATCCGCTCCCACTGTCCAGATGTGCGTCTACCTGGCCGTGGCCTGGTTCAATGATGGAGGTGTGGCAGTGAAACGCGTTCTGGACGAGATGGGCCTCCCTACTGGACACCATACGACACGTCTCATCAAGCTGCTAGACCGTGAGAGACAGGCACATGCTGCCAGAAAGAAGTCAGAAGAAGGGAAGAGGTCACGAAAGAAGCGAAGGAGGATCAGGAAGGGCATCCAGGATGAGCAGCAAGAGGAAGAAGGTTTGACATATGAAGCTGGTGGCTTCGACTAAGTTCTAGTAAGTTCTAGTTGGACAGACATACCTCCATCTGTACTTGCACAGAGCACTTTTTTTCTCCATTTTCCACTGAGTCCCGTACCTCTTAGACAGCGTAGCGAAGAACCTGTAAGTCACAGACCCCATAAACCATACATTTTTGGAAACTGTGAGCATTTATCAAGGTGCTAAGTGTCATGGATTTTTATATTTGTCTAGTAGCTTTGAGTAAAGTGCTACTGATCGAGGACCTAAATTTTGCGCGATTGCATGATTTTTGTTTGACAGCTTGAGTACTTTGTTCTGAATATGATTTCAAAATTCCGCTCCACTTAGCACCTAGGTATATGTGAAGGAAATCCTGTGGAGCACTCAGTTTCTACCCAGCTTCTTTCTGCGTTTGCATATTGCGTCTAAGGTATTGGTGGTACGGCATAATCGCAGATTTGACTATTGTGTCTGCGGATTCCCATGTGTGAGCTTGATTTATACTTCATTGGACTTAGTGAAATACACTGGGTATGTGGTCAAGATTTGAGCAAAATTCCTCAATTATTATGGAAGTTACGGCTGTGTTCATGCGGTCGGGCCGCGAACCCAGACTGCCACCTTAAGAAGTTTCCGAAGCACGAAATCAAAATATTCGATGAGCTTCTTAGGCCCGGGTAGCTTCGTCTTTGACCAGGTTTGGGCCTTTCGCTTCATGCTTTTGTTTGTTCCGTGTGACTAAACACAACATTGCAACTTAGGTGCCCTTCATCCACTTTACGTGGATCACCCACGTACGCGTTTCCGTTACGTGGGAACTAAACCTTCCTATTCAATAGGCGAGAAGGGAACCGAAATAAAATGTCATGGTTCGCGTGAGACTCGGCTAGACCGAGTTTTCCGCATCCCGGCAGGAACACCATCACCCTCAACTTCTCAACGATCAAGGTGCAGATGGAGCTCCTATTTTAAAAGTTGTGGGAGGAGTCCACCGTCCTACTTGTACCGGAACATGCCGCACATGGAAGAAAATCATTGAGCCGGGAGCCCTCCAGTCTCCACATATGTACATGTTCAGTGTATGCGTAGGACTCCCTGGTCATTGAGCCTGTCTATCGAGTACAGTAATCAGTATTGAACAAGCCACTTGTACGGGCAAGTCAGCATGCATATCATCAAACTAAAGTGATTGGGGAAATCAAATCAAAATGAATAATTGAACACAAAAGCAATAAAACATTGGTATTATTGTTTTGACCAGGTAAGGTGGTGATCAGGGAAATCAAGTACAGTCACATGATCCTGTCGCCCACTAACTGCCAGACTGAGTGGCTGGTCACGTGGTCTCTCACTCTCTTGGTCTGTACTAAGCGTACTAAGGAAATATTAATGAGTCCTGCCGCCATTATAAATCGCCAGGCTATCATAGAAGAGTCTTTAAAAGCAGGAGTCCTACTCCCAATCATCAAGTTTTGGTTTCAGAACCAAGCACTACACACGACAGGTAGTGGGTGACAAGTCAAAGTACTGGCTGTGAAGTATTTGTGAACACAAATTGATGGCAGGCTTCATCGCCCAGGCCGAGGCATCGGACATCCGCTCCCACAGTGCTCTCAACAATGTCACCCGCTGCCATCAAAGGCTAGTGGTCATGTGCTGTGGGTCCGTAGCCGACCGGCATGACCTTGGTCTTCGCAAGATTCACCTTCAGACCAAATGCGCCAGCAATG